GCAATGATAGAGAATAATACCCTTCAGTATGAGCAAAGTACAGAATAATGCCCTCTAGTATGAGCAATGATAGAGAATAGTGCCCTCCAGTATAAGCAAAGTACAGAATAATGCTTTCCAGTATGAGCAATGAAAGAGAATAGTGTCCTCCAGTATGAGCAAAGGTACCGAATAATGCCCTAAAAAATGAACAATGATAGAGAACAGTGTCTTTCGGTATAAGCAAAGTACAGAATAATGCCCTCTAGTATGAGCAATGATAGAGAATAGTGTCTTCCAGTATGAGATAAGTACAGAATAATGCCCTCTAGTATGAGCAATGATAGAGAATAGTGCCCTACAGTATGAGCAAAGTACAGAATAATGCCCTCTAGTATGAACAATGATAGCGAATAGTGAGCTCCAGTATGAGAAAAGTACAGAATAATGCCCTCCAGTATGAGCAATGATAGGGAATAGTGTCCTCCAGTATCAGTATGAGCAAAAGTACAGAATAATGCCCTCTAGTATGCGTAATGATAGAGAATAGTGCCCTACAGTATGAGCAAAGTACAGAGTAATGCCCTCTAGTGTGAACAATGATAGCGAATAGTGTGCTCCAGTATGAGCAAAGGTACAGAATAATGCCCTCCAGTATGAGCAATGATAGGGAATATTGCCCTCAAGTATGAGCAATGATAGAGAATAATACCCTTCAGTATCAGTATGAGCAATGGTACAGAGTAATGCCCTCTAGTTTGACAGATGTTGAGATCTCTAGTAACCTTTGAAGGTTTTAGGTTCAGTAATTCACTTATGTCGTTATCCGGGCCACTGGTTGTCACGGTCACACATCACTGTTTTTCCTTGTTTTTCTCTTCATATATTAGCTCTTATTGTGATGGGCGTTAACAATTACATAAATATCCTTTAAAAATATTTCTCAAAAACACATCTGGTTACTCATTTTTTGCTTATTTTTTATATTTGCTTATTTCAATGATATATTTTGTCTTTCTCATTATAATGTTACCAAACCTAGTACTAAGAAGACAACAAAATTATTACAAACGTTAGAAATAAAATTCACAACTCGTAAGGGTGCCAACACATAACAGCCACCAAATAATTTCTGCTTTAACAAATTTTCATAAATTTTTTTTTTAAATTTTTTTAATTCTGATAATGTAATCTAAAATAATTTTATCATGCAATAACTACCGTAGAAAATTTTTTGTTATGAGCTTCAAGTAAAAAAAAATCCAATTTTCCCGCCAAGTGAATGAATGAATTTCTGTGATGTTGTCTTGATCAAGGTTTCACGGCAGCCCAAAAAACAAGCATATTTCAATAACCAAAATGAGACAGCACTAAGTGTAATGTACCACTTAGATGCTGTACACAGAAAGATGAGTGTTTTACTTAAGCATTAAAGAATGGCTTCATAGAAATGACTACACCTGTCAATCGAGTTAATGACTCCACTATGCACCTTAAGATATCAGTCTCATCCATTAACAAAGCATATACCGCCTAAATCAAAACTAACATAGTCAGTTTGTTGCTCATTTACCACAAGCAGATGTTCAATGTTTTTTATTTCTCACATTTTTTTAATGAGAGAGTCTATTAAATTTATCATGATCAAAAGACTGAAATAAAGAAAAGATGACTCAAATATGATAATATACTTGATATCATGTTGTAAACTCCAAGATAAAGACACACATATTAATTTAATAACAGCACAGTTCAATAAACACGAGACACAATGCAGTTCTACCAATTTCATAATCTCAAATTACAGTCAACAAAATCTAGCGTCAGAGATTTACTTTTACGTTTCGAGTGCCAACATTATTTCCAAAATTTTATTTTTATGATATTATGTTCTTATAGTCTAAAATTTAAATCTTTAAATTTAAAATTTAACAGAATAGACAAAAATGGGCAAAATTTTGGCAGGGATAAATGATGGTACTCAATTGGTTAAAATGGTGATGGTCATCACGACGTGTCCTGTTCGATGTACACAACACGTGTAAAATGTATTGAATGTTCACATGAAATTCAAACATGGGCGACGAACACCGCCTTTTAAATACGAGTTAGAACTGTTATGTATTAAGGTATATTGTGCACAGTAAAGCAGATTATGAATCATACTGGAAAATCTATTGGATAAGATCCTATTTGTTACCTCTCCTGTCTGCTTTTATTACAATGTACAAACAATCGTCTATACATGCAATTTATTTTGTGTTTGAAACTTCCTAAGAACTGGTTACGTAGACATTCTTTTAGCATACATGACAGTTTACTGCCCTCAGGGAATTGGGAATGTTAATAACAGGAAATACATCTTCCCTCAATTTAGTGATTCCTCCTTGAACAATCTCATTTCAGGAAAAGAATTTTTTTTCTCAGGATTACAATATTGTGTCGCTAGTCAAGCAAGCAATGATAATCAGCTCTGAAACAACATGAATAACGTCACGAATAGACATTTGATGAAAATAACATATAACGACTTGACATATAGGTCACACCAGACAAAGAAATTCAAATTGAACATTCAAGTCGTACAATCTGCACAGCGTGCAATATGTATAGATAGTAAGCTAAATATATGATAATATGCAACATCCTTTTTCATGTTTCCATAGAAACCAAAATAATTTTGAAGTGGTAAATATACTCAAATAAGCAAAATTAACAAATAAAATGTATCGTTTATTTTTTGAAAAGAGACATATCAATTTGAACATACACAAGAAATTTTAAGGACACTGTTTTACAAAATGTAGTTTCTCTGTTTGTATTTGTACTGGACTCTAATCCCCAGTAGTGTTGTCATCAAAAATATATGCATAATGCAATGATTACATAATGTAATTAAACAAAACTGTCAATCTTATAAACATTGTCTGGATTTTATATTTATAATGAAGAAATAAAAAAAAATATTTACAACCTTGTTAAAATAGATTGTTTTCGTATTTTTGTAGAACATCTGAAAAATTATTTCATAAGTCACAGCTATGGGAGAGATATATTATTCTTTCCATTCAAATATACAAAATACCTAGACAAAAACAAGATCCATCAATTTATCCTTCACCCTTCAGAAGGTCAGAGGTCAATTTCAACCAATCAAAGGGTGACACTAATTGACAGACCTTTATGGGATTCTGAATCAATTGATAGTTGATGACTATATGCCTCAGTTTAAACCACAGGGTAGATGCAATGTATGCCATACACATCAATCTTCTTGTATGTCATGTAATTCATTGAAATATGTAGCAGGCTTTGTGTTCACCTCCCCTCCCCTCACCAACCACCCTCACTCATTTTATTGACCCAGATATCATAGCAATGATCTGATTGGTTTGTTAAGAAATCTGTGTTTTGATTGGTTCATTTCACAGAACTACATGATTGGATTAAGTGTCATTAAAATAATTTGATAGGTTTAGTTATAAAACACTGGTCTTATTAGTTCACACAACTGGGAAGTAATAAGTAAGAGGTTCTGATTGGTTCACACAACTGAAGTAATAAGTAAAGAGGTTCTGATTGGTTCACACAACTGGGAAGTAATAAGTAAGAGGTTCTGATTGGTTCACACAACTGAGTAATAAGTAAGAGGTTCTGATTGGTTCACACAACTGGGAAGTAATAAGTAAGAGGTTCTGATTGGTTCACACAACTGGGAAGTAATAAGTAAGAGGTTCTGATTGGTTCACACAACTGAGAAGTAATAAGTAAGAGGTTCTGATTGGTTCACACAACTGGGAAGTAATAAGTAAGAGGTTCTGATTGGTTCACACAACTGGGAAGTAATAAGTAAGAGGTTCTGATTGGTTCAGAGAACTCGGTAGTAATAAGTAATAGGTTCTGATTGGTTCACACAACTGGGAAGTAATAAGTAAGAGGTTCTGATTGGTTCACACAACTGGGAAGTAATAAGTAAGAGGTTCTGATTGGTTCACACAACTGAGAAGTAGTAAGTAAGAGGTTCTGATTGGTTCACACAACTGGGAAGTAATAAGTAATAGGTTCTGATTGGTTCAATCAACAGAGTTATATTATTGGTTAAAACACTGCAATCAGTTAAGTAGAATGTATGGTTCTGTAATTACACTAACTGTGTTCTGATTGGTTCAATGATTCAACTAAAGTCATGACAATGTTATCTGATTGGTCCATCAGTCATGACAATGTGATATGATTGGTCCATAGGGGTTTGATACAACACTCAATAAAGTATGGAACGAATAAGTAGAATAGTCAGCATAATCTATTATAACCCACTTCTCTACATAAAGCTGTATGGATTAATCTGTCAAATCACTCCTGGGTACAACAAATACTACTCACTGGAATGCAAAGATCTTGCCGCATTCAGGAGCAGTGCAGTGCAGTTTGAATCACATTTGATCCTTTGATTAAAGGTAGTACGAGTAGTTTTATACCCAGACGTCAGCTGTATTGAGCATGTCCCTCGCAATTTGTGAATCCCATGCATTTACGTGTTCTAGTATAATATAGCTATTCAGTCATTTTCTCGTAGAAATCAAAATACACATTTTGTAATACATTTACCTTTATAAATGATTAGATTTTAAATTAGAGGTGATTAACAAACAGATTAACATTCCATCTCGGCATAGGATGAAGCGAACAGAGGAAAGTGTCAACGTGCGTTTATGTACATTGTTTACGTACCTACAAAGGCAGTGTGACAGGGAGTCACGGTGCACTGTATACGCGATTTTGGAATAACATCCCCGCCCAGTTCTTTTGTGTCCAAAGCTAGTGAACATGACCTTTTTATCTGTTTTGTGGTCGGATGTCATCCATCGATCAATCGGATTACAAATATGCGTACAGCGGTACAGCCAGACAGAAGTTGATACAGAACTACAAGCAAATTGCCGGGCAAATTAAAACCACGATTGATGAATATTTGCAATCTGGCAACTAGACGGGATAAATCGCGCAAAGAGGACACTTACCGTTAGTCATACGTTGATCTTCTATCTTTTTCGCGGTTCCAGTTGTTTGATGTGGTGATTTGAGAGAAGAGACTTTCATCCATCACATCCGAACAATCAAGTGAACAAAATACACCAACACTCACTGAATATTGTGAAGATAGGATGAGGATATGACCCCCTAACCGCATCGTTATAGAGCGGGCTACTTAGGCCTGTCTATGACGTACATGTACGCATTTTCTTGTAAACATGCGTTCACCAAACGAATGTATATATTGAACCCGTACTGATCCCGTATTGAAGAGCTTGTTAGGACTAGAATAGTAATTTTTGACGCATTTCCACTGCAAACGTCACTTACCACAATTGTTGTTTACCAGTTTAAGTTTTATTGTTTTGATTTTAATTGTTTTGATTGTTTAAATAAAAAGAGTGGGGAAGGTGGGGTTTGGTGGGGGAGGGTGCCTTCCTAGCGTAATGTAGAATAGAATTAAATATTTTATTTGACTCGAAATAAAGTAAAAAATGACATAATTTATGGCAAAAAACGAACAAAGTAACACACACTGTCATAGACAACAATAATAAATAAAACCAAGTAACAATTAGCATAAATTTCTAAGATTTATGAATAAAGACACCTAGACTGTTGGCAATGAAACTATCTTTTGAACTCAACAGTTTCTTAAACATGATCTGCATAGGCAAATTCTTCATTGTGTATTGAGATTGTATATTAATATATCATGAGCATCGTTTTAACGATGACAAAACGTAACAATCACTTATTAGTCAGTGTGAAATGATTTACTTACATAAACTATAAAATGTTTGTGTGTAAACAACATATAGATGATATATGTATATGTACTCGTATTTAAATTAAATATAAAATGCGTTAAGTTGTTTTGGTTTGATTGAGCAGCTGTGTTGATATGTGTATTTATTCGTATTATTTCCTACATAAAAACGAATTACTGTCGGCATTACGTTCACGTCTGGAATTTAATTACACAGTTTCAAAATGTTGATAATATTCATATGCACGGATCTGAACAACTTTTACGCTAATGTCATGACGTCATATGTTTACATTTTTGCCAACCAGCTTGTGAATGTCAGATAACAAATATCGCTTACCGATCAGCAATAGCTCGCGATCTGCTGTGACGACTTTGCCCACCAGTTGGGACACGTACATCCGTACAGCAACGGACTATGTAGCTTATACCCGGGCTTTTGCAGATAAATTTACCACCGCTTAGTATATTAGGAATGCCGATATCTGAAATATAGTAGATTTCTGATTTTCTGGTTTCAATATAAATTTGAAATTGCCATATATTTTGATGATTTTTTGTAAGCATACGGTTCTGAAGCAGTATTCAATCGCCTATACCATAACTATACTATTGAAGCTACCAGCAAAAGTTAAGCTAGTCTTTATAATTGCTGTAAACATAGTTTGTATGGAGCTCATTGACGAAAAACAGTTTTATTACAGAATCCAGGATATAAATAGAAATAAATTCACTCTCCACGAAATTGTATAAACAACGTGAGCTGAATTTTCGTATGTTTGGCTGAAAATATGAAGGTCCGGTCGTCAGAGGTCTGGGTCCCGATTTTTTTTTGGGGGGGGGTGTATTTTTATAGTGGGGGATATCATGAATTGAGTATGGTTCAAGGGTCGTACAACATGTATATAGTAGAAGTAGTAATAGTAGACGATAATTGCATTGGTAATCGTTTTTTTTTTTTTTATTATTATTTTAAATAGCTATACATACGGAGCTACGTCACAAGACGTTCCATGTTACTAAGACGTGCACCACTGTACATGCATTTCTATGGGCTCTGTGCGCGCTGCTGTGGAACGCCGGTCGAGCCGGTGAAAATTCGAGAAAACAACACAAACTCAACTTTGAAGTAATCCCGAACAACCAAATTTATATATGTTACACACGTAGGGCTAATCTTGTTACACTGTTCAGAGGAGTCTCAACAGTCATCCCAAAGTACCGTTTTCTGCGAGTTTTTGGGCCTTTGTTTTCACCGCCGCGGGTTGCCAGGCGGTGAAAATGCCCGGATGTCCGCGCCCGAGGATACGGATAAAGTGCGATGAAAATGTTCGGAAAATGCATTAGTTTTGAATATAAATCTGGTAAAACGATCGATGTCTGGAGGAGCGATGAGAGACGGATTCCTATAACGGGAATTAATTATAGATGTAACCGTCATTGATGTTCGTGTGTTGTTGGACTATGATTAAATCAAAAAAATATATTGATAATAGTCTAACAAATTCGCCGAGTGATGCCCTCTGTCGGCAGCAAAATGTTCAATGGTATTTGTCAATAGAGGACGCAAGTCATACAGCTTAAAAACAATCTTATCGCCTATTATTGACTTGCTTTACAGTCCTTCTTTATTTTTTGTTGTTTTTTGAAAACGAAAAGAAACACGATTTTCGCAGTAACCAATCTTTTGCCGTTTATACACTCCCATAACATTTTACAAAAACAATTAAACAAGGGACTGTATGCAAGTCTACGCTCATAACGATCACGGAACCAATTAAGGTACCCATGAAAACTGCGTATGATGACATGTCAGTTAAATGAGTGATACTTATATTTTAAATTTGTTACATATTTATATTTTCACTGTTAGCGAAGTTGTTGCCCAACAACATAGCTACATACTACTATGACGTGGTGACCCAAAGTTAGGCGAAATAGCTATATCGAAAAAAGTAAAGAGAAACCGAGAAACCGAGCTGTATAACAAATTTGTGCAGAATTTGGAAGTTTTTGCCAACTGTGATAATCCAAAACAACATATAACAGCATTTCGGAAGATCTCATTTGAAATGAAGTGTAGCGATTATAACCAGGGGTGCATTATTTGTGTTGTATTACATTACGTGTATTATATTACGTGTATTACATTACGTGTATTACTTGTACCTCTGTTATGACTCCCTTACATGTAAAACCTAATCAGGCTTCCCAATATCATCGACACTACTAGTATTTTCCAGTGTCACGCCACAATTGGAAATCCTACACGCAACTTTTTGAAAAGAATACCATGCTCATATTTCAGGCACTAGAATACAAATTGATTCATCGAGTATTTGGTGTGAGACCTCAACATTGCCACAGGCCACCCGAGTATGTGTTAGCGCCCTCTATAGTATATAACACGACAACCATGGCTAGCTAAGAGGGCGTGATTGTAACTTGGAGGAGATAGTTTACAAATACAAATGCTTCAGACAGGGTCCATATTAGCTATGCTATTTCCAAACAGATTAGTTTGAAAAGAATAAAACATCACGCCTTCCATCAATACTCGTTACCAACTCAGTGAAAAGAACAAATTTTAACCAAACGATTTTACTCATTTATATAACACATCTAATGTTTTTAATTTTGTTTTGCAATACGTGCTCAGTCCTCACATTTATGTAATCACTAGTTTGCCTCACGAGAGAACACGTATATTTATAAACTCACTCTACATCGCGCAGCAGTCTCCTAAACAAATGCGCAAATACGCGGACATATCCGGTCATTGTGATAAGAAAAACCTGCAACCTTTTCACCACCAGTACCCTCTTTCATCACAAAATAGTTCTGTTTATAGCCTGCACTTTCCTTCAAAAGATTAGTTGGATAAATATAGTCAAATTTTTCGGGTAAAAACTGAAAATTTACTCAAAGTTGTCTGTTGGCTCCAAATATCGGGATCATTTCCAAAAAATATTGAAGAGTGTTAGAAAAAAATGCGAATTTCATGTATTACTAAATAAACAATGTATTTTACCCGCGTTGTATACGTCGCTAAGAGTCCATATCGAACAGGACGCGGCGCGACGACCACCGCCCTTTAAATACGCCAGAATGACCAGAATAGAATGTTAGTTATACAAACGTTTAAATAAAATAGTTTTGACATTTGTTTTGTTTGACCAACGTATTATTTGTCTTGCTGAGTATTCGATGTTATTTCTAATTCATGTGCAACATTATTTACGAATACATGTACCGTACATCCGTTACGGTAATTAGAATTACGCAGTAAGCAAAATAAAATCATTCAGTTTATTATCCGATAACTTTTTGTCTTCATCTTCTTTCTGTAACTAATGTGGTTATATCGCCGCCAGTGCGACCACATTTCTCCACTCTCGTTGATCTGCAGCAAGAGAAGGGATGTCTTCAGTGACTCCGGCCGATCACATGCCTCATTCAATCTCGTCGGGTGCCACCTTTTCTTCCCCTGACCGCCCAATTCCTCCGGGTTCCAATCCACAAGCGCTCTAGCTAGCGTGTCGGGTCCCATACGACAGACGTGGCCGAACAATCGTAGTCGTCTTTTCCGTAACTGATAAGACACCGGCGGCTGCTGAGTTCTCTTACTGAATTGTGTACTCATTAGACCAATGTACTCGACGATTCTTTTGGTTCACTGCTGTCAAATGCATCCATCTAATACCAATATATATTCAATCGAATAGAAACCGTTATATCTATCACTGGTATCTCTGGACATTCAAAACCAATATTTTTGATCTATTTGACAGATCATTAGACTCTATTATTGATATAATAGACGATAATATTATCCGATAACGGTAAAAAGGTACATTATGCAACTTCCCCGCTATGAACCATGAAATTATATGTCCACGGCTAACGGTGTTAATTCTCAAAGTGGACAGTCGTACATGTTGTTGTACATGTTTTTTACCGTTAAATATCTTGACATTTACAAGGTCACATTGTATTCTACTGAATTTCTGTTGGTGCTCCGCAAGTTGTTCACGTCAGTATTTAAATGAAAAAAGCAATGTAAACATCGGTATTGACTTGTATGTGGTAACCTAAACTATTGTTCCGTAAACTGTTTGCGGCGTACAACACTCGCCTTGACGGGTCAGTTTATAAATCGAACGTCGACCGGTCGATTCACTTGACTTCGCATGTCGGTCGGTACTGAGTTCGGATGTCGGTCAGCTCACGACACTCACAGTCAGCTTTAGTCACTCATAGCTCTTATTTCAGTGTAAATATAACTCTGTTTGTGGTATGAGT